TGGTGCTGGGGGATTGAACTGCGGTCCCTGTGCTTTGCTAAGCTTGTTCTAAGTAGGTGCTTTAGACCACTGAGCCATCTCACCAGCCCCTTCATGGATTTTTTTTCTTGGAGTTTTTGAGACAGGGTGTCACTACATAGCTCAGCTAGCCTTGAACTCATGGTGATCCTCCTGCCTCAGCCTTTCAAGTGTTTTTTGTTTGTTTGTTTTTTGGCGGAACCGAGGATTGAACTCAGGCCCTTGCACTTGCCAGAGAAGCACTTATTCTACGGAGCCATCTCCCTGCCCTCAAAGCCTTCTAAGTGTTGGGGTTATAGAATTACACTACCATGCCCAGAGACAAGTTGATTTTAAAGTTCATATAGCAATGCATAGGATTGAGACTAGCACAAAAAATCTTGAAAAAGCACAATTTTAGAGGGCTCATACTTCCCAATTTCACAATTTATTCAAAGTTATTTACTTATTTATAGACAAGCTCTCATTATATAGCTCAGGCTGGCCTTTAACTTACTATGCAGCCCAAGCTGGCCTGAAACTCACGGCAATGCTGCCTCTGCCTCTGGTGTGCTGGGATTACAGGCATATATAACCATACCAAACTATGAAGGAATTTTACTGTTTGTTTTGAGACAGGGTCTCACTAATTCACTATGCAGCCCAGGCTGGTGTCAAACTCAGAGCAATCCTCCTTACTCAGCCTTCAAGCTCTGTGATAACAGATGTGTACCACCAAACCAGGTAGATTAAAGCTATTTTAACCAAGATTGTATGTTCCGGGGCTGGTGAGATGGCTCAGTAGAATAAGCGCTTGTCTGGCAAGTGCAAGGGTCTGAGTTCAATCCCCGGTTCTGCAAAAAAAAAAAAAAAAAAAAAGGATTGTATGTTCCTACCCTAAAGATAGATATATTTTACTGCATTTATGCTCAACTGATTTTTTAATAAGAATGACAAAGTTTCAAATGGGAAAAGAATAGTATTTTCTTCCTTTTTTTTTTTAGGCCAGCTCAGCCTGCCCTGAGGGTGGGGCTGGCACGGCATATGGTGCCAGGATATCAAACCACGGTCCCCTGTGCCTGCCTAAGCTTGCCTAAGGATACATGGGTACCTGGGTATCCATATGCAAAGAATAATGTTGGATCCTACTTTATACAGAAATTAACATGGAATGGATCAAGACCTAAATATAAGAAATGGAATGATCTTACTCTCAGGAAACACAGGAGTGTTAATCTTTATGTTTCTCAGCCCAGTATGAGAAAAAAAAAAGCCGGCTATACCTCAAACAAAGGACTAATATCTAGAATATATAAATAATTCAAATTACTAGAAGCCCTGGGTTCAGTCCTCAGCACCAAAAACAAAACAAAACAAAAAATTCAAATTAATCAGAACCCCTCAAATTTAAAGACCCACTCCAAAAATGTGCATCTGAACTGGATACACACTTCTCAAATGAAGGAGAAATGGCAAATAAATATATGAAAATATGTTATACAGTCATTCAAGAGATGCAAATTAAAATAATGTTGAGATTCCATTTCACCCCAGAAAGAATGGCTACTATCAAGAAAGCAACCAAACAAGTATTGGTGGGGGTATGGAGAAAAAAGAAACCCTTCTCCTCTGTTAATGTTAGTGTAGACTGGTACAACCACTGTGAAAATCAGTGTGTAGATTTCCTAAAAAAACTAAGCTAGCTTTGGTGCACACCTATAATCCCAGCACTAGGAAAGCTGAGGCAAGAGGATCATTTTAGAGTTCGAGACCAGCCTGGCTACAAAGTAAGCTCAAGGCCTGCCTGAGGTGCATAGCAAGGCTGTTTCAGAAAGTTAAATAAATAAAGAGGGGAAGAGGGGTAAAGGGAGAGGAGGGGCATTGGAGAAGCAAAGAAGCAAGATATATCATGTATAGGTACAAACTTCCTATGATGAATGTGATCATTATGTATAACTAAAATGTACCAATAAAGTAAAAAGTTAAGGGGCTGGAGAGATGGCTCAGTGGTCTAAAGCACCTACTTGGAACAAGCTTGGCAAAGCACAGGGACCACGGTTCAATCCCCCAGCACCACATGCCAGC